TTTTTTGATTTTGATTTTGATTTTATTTTCTTTTATTTCAGCTTTGTTTAGTTACGACTTACTATCAAGACGGACAGTTAACAGACTTGATGCTGTTGTCATTTCAGTGAAGTAAGAGCACTGTTATTGTTTGAGTTTTGGCCAGATGTCTTATATAGTAAGATGCTCTAAGCTGTATCGGTCATTCCTTGATTATGTCAGGAGTGTTTCAAATAAAACTGAGAAGATGAGAATAGAGAACATGAACTTAAGATAACCAGAAAAAGTCACAGGGAAAAGAGTTGTATAGTCAGGTCAAGCAGGATCAAAAACAGGAAGTCAAAAAACGGTTACAATAAAAGTAAACTGCTGCATCTTAGGGACAAATGACCTCTGCTGCATTTATAGCCTTATTTCTAGCCTCCCCTTAATTAGCAAAGTGAGTAAGATGAGGGCTTCAGGGTGAGAGAATCAGGTTTAAAGCCTGGTTCTAGAATTAAATGAATAACTTCGTGCCAGCTAAATACCATTTTAACACCGTTTTCTCAGATGTAAACTGAGAGTCATATAGTATTTTCTATATCACCGAGTTGTTTTATAGATTAGGTGCTAACATACACTTAACGCAATTAGTATAGAATATTTCACGGTACAATCCTCCATTAAATGTAACTAGTCACCAAAAAAACATATTGGAATACAGGCAAATCTTTTCTAAAAAAAAATTCTAGATCAATAAATAGTAATAAAAAACAAACCAAATGGAAATAAATAGAAAAATGAAGAACTGAAAAAAAAAGCATAATAGTGACTACATGCCAACTTGATTATTAGATTAAGTTGGAATAGAATAATTCCTAACATCTGTTCATTATTGGTCACCAATAAAGCATAATAATTACAAAGAAAATAACTATTTGGTAAAAGTTTGTTTAAGGGAAATTATCACCTGAGTTTTTCCCCCTGAGTCTTATCCAAGTTTTCCATTCAAGCCTTTATTTGTGGAAAAATGTAAACATTTGTAAAGACTTTTATATCAAGCATTATCATAAAGATGACATTTGTCTTTGGACTCATAATGACCCCAAATACCAGATTTGCTAAAGAAAATGGTTTTACTTTTGGTTTTTAGGGTAGAGCATGGCCCTAACCTCATTTTATTATTTGAAAAATAATTGGCTTAAAGAACACTGTTATTCTGCCCACAGCTACAGACTAGCACCTAAATATCACTTCCCAAATCAATTTGAAGATGTATATAATGCATTAAAGTGGTTCTTATGCCACGATGTTCTTGACAAATATGGTGTGGATCCTGAAAGAATTGGAATTTCTGGAGACAGTGCTGGAGGGAATTTAGCTACAGCAGTGACTCAACAGGTATGTTGCTCAGATTTGTTTTTTCCTAAAAATATCTTACACTTAATTATTTATTTTGAACATTAAACTATCCATGCAAACTACGTTATTATGTTAATATGTTAGAAATTAGAGATACAAAGAAATCAACGTTAGAGAACATTTCTATCCTGAGTGCTTCTATTCCTATCTTCTGCCAGACTTTTAAAAAATAAAATGATAAAATACTCTTTCCAGATCATTGGTTTAGACATCATTATATGTCAGCTAAGTGCTATGCAATTTTGTTGTATTAGGGCTGCGATTTGTGCAATCAGCCAGTAATACACTATAGTTACAGAATCAGATTATTCCAGTATTCTTTATGGAGTATACTAAAACTTACATGAAAACTACTGTTATCAGAATAATCAATTTGCCTATAGACAAAAAATATTAACAGGTTTGTAGATACTATTTACTTGCAGAAGGAATTATAATTTTCAGATATCAACTATTACACTCTTACCCTGATATTTATCTAAAACTGAACATCTATTTTTTTTTAATTTTTAAAGTTTACTCATTTGAAAGAGAGACAGAGAAAGTGAGTGGAGGAGGGGCAGAGGGAATGGAAGAGAGAGAATTCCAAGCAGGCTCCACACTGACAGGGCCTGGAACTCAAGAACCATGAGATCATGACCTGAGCTGAAACCAACAGTAAGAGGTTTAATCCACTGAGCCACTCAGGCATCCCCAAACTGGGCATCTATTAGCTATTAATTTGAAGTGGCACATAATTGTATTAGACTAATAATGAGTAAAATTGTTATTGATACTGGTTATCTGACCTAAATATCAAACCAGGCACCAATGGCTTAGAAGCAGTGTTCTTATAATGAAAACAAAAAACAAAAAACCTTACTTGTAGATTTAAAAATGAAGGTCTGCAATTCAATAACTAACTCTATAAATATTGCTTGTAAGCTTACTGTCAATCAAACAAATCTTGCTTTTGATTTTGTTGATTATTGCTTTTTTATGCTCATTTTAAAGTATATAAATTTTGCCTATTGTTACCTTCAAAATCACCTTCTTATGATTTGTAGCCAAAGGAAAGATGTAAATTTTGTGATTTTTATAAAAATACTGCAGAACATATATCTGCTACTCTCCAGAAATTGACTTCTATATTGCCTACTCATTGTCACTCTGAGAGGCGTCTTGATTCAGTACAAAGGGCATATCAGGAGACTTGGATTTTTGGAACTAATTTCTTTTTATTGTGTTACATAATGAGCCCTTTCTCTTATGTAGTTCAGACTTCTGTAGTGGTGAACCAATCAATTCTGACCCATAATTATTAAAATATAATATTCTGGAGAGCATTAAACTACCAGTTAGATATAAGGAATTTCCAGGCCAAAATTTTTTAAAAATTATTTTAAGTTTGTTTATTTTCAGAGAGAGAAAAAGTGAGATGGGGAGGGACAGAGAGAGAAAGGAGAGAATCTCAAGCAGGTTCCACACTATCAGCAAAGAACCCAGTGTGGGGCTTGAAATCACAAACTGTGAGATCTTAACCTGAGCCAGAATCAAGAGTCAGGCACTTAACCAACTGAGCCACCCAGGTGCCCCTAGGCCAAAAAGTTTTTTAAAGATATGGGAAAAACATACACACACACACGCAAAGATAACCTAGCACTCAATGTCTCTCTGCTCTAATGGCATATATCAATCAGAAGAAAACTGTTCAACCAAGATGAGCTAGAGAGTTGCAGTCAAATTCCAGGGTCCTCCAAGAAAAATGGGGACACTTATGAAGTACTTCTGATTTTATGTGAGACTCTAAAGAGATATGGTCTCATTATCAGGGGGAGCATGCTACAAAACAAACTTGATGATAGAAAACTCTTCATGAAGAGCCTTGCTTCTTATCACCTGGATGGTCATGGCAAATCTGTCCTTGGACTTAAATTAAGTTGATGTGAACAGTTGATATTCAAGTATACTTAACAGTGTATAAAAATCATCCCTGAAGAAATACAGTTTCATAATAGACTTCAAATTATTCCTGCAAAATTTTTTTGAAATCAGTAGTCAGCACAGAATAAAATATATGCAGGCAAGGAAGTAAACAAGAAACCATGAAGGGAAGCAAGCAGAATCAACAGATGATAGAAAGACACATTATAAAATTCAGATACTGCAATTGTCAGCCACAGAATATAAAATAAGTATCCTAGTTTCTTCAATTAATTCACAACCATGATTGGAAATTTCAGCAGAAAAGTAGAATTTTAAGAAACAAACAAAAGTCCAAAACTAAAAAAATAAAATAAAATAAAAATTTGGTTAATTGCTTAAGTGATCTCAAACAAGCTGAAGATATCGTTTACAAGCTAAAGGATGGGCCATATGACTCATGGATGACTATGCAAAATGAAGCACGGAAGCTTCAAAAGACAGAAAATACAGTAGAGAAGATAAGAAATAGAGCAGAAACAGTCTGAAAATCCAGTAGCCTCTTAAATGTTATGCCAGAAACAGAAGGGAAAGAAGGAGAGAAAGGAAGATTTGCAAGAATGCAGCATTTTGCAGAAGTTATGAAAGATATCTAGATAGAGATAAAAGAAGCTCCATGAACCTTAAACATACTTTTTTAAAAGGTAAAAATTAAATAAATAGCTAGAGATAAATGTATGTGTAGACATACAGACAACAAGGCAAAAGTGTTGACAATCAACAACACAAGATACAACAAAAAGAAATAGAGGGGCTCCTGGCTGACTCCTTTGGTAAACCATGTCACTCTTGATCTCATGGTTCTGAGGATCTTGGGCATAAAGATTGCTTTAAAATTTTTTAAATTTATTTTTATTTTATTTTTTTAAAATGTTTTTTATTTTTTATTTTTGAGACAGACAGAGCATGAGTGGGGGAAGGGCAGAGAGAGAGAGAGATACAGAATCCGAAGCAGGCTCCAGGCTCTGGGCTGTCAGCACAGAGCCTGATGTTGGGTTCAAACTCATCAACCGTGAAATCATGACCTGAGCTGAAGTCGGGCATTTAACTGACTGAGCCACCCTGGCATCTCTAAAATTTTTTTAAATTAAAAAAAAATAAAGAAATGTTTAGAGGATAAAAGAGTATCTCACAGAAGTACAAGTCATACTGACAGCTTAATTCTCAATAGTGAGAATGTAAGTTCTAAATCAGTGGAATATCATCAGAAAGCAACACAAAATTAGTGTTAAATTCTTGGATGCACAAAAATATTAAGAATAAAGGAAAATAAAGGCATATACAGATAAGCAAAAACAATAGAGCTCCTATTAGTGGAACACACTAAAAGGTGGTTTAAATAAGTGTTTCAGATAGAATGAAAATGCAGATAAAAGTTTAGAATACAGGAATAAGCAAGAATGTGGTAAGATGTGGGTAAATCTTAAACTTGGAAAGATTAAAATAATAAGATATATAAAATTAAAATATAGGAAAAACAAGCCATAAGTTCAGGAGTGGAGAAGAGGGATTTTAAGTCTTCTAAGCTCTTTTTATTGTCTAAGAAGAAATAAAGAGTTGGTCTTTCATAATTTCATTGTTTTTTGAGTAGTTAAGAATACACCTTGTAATTCTTGGGGTAATAATTTAATGAATAGAAATAGGAAGAAGCTTGGGTGGCTCAGTCAGTTGAGTGTCTGACTCTTAATTTCACCTCACATCATGATCCCAATGTTATGGGATCCAGCCCTGCATCAGGCTCATGCTTAAGATTCTTTCTCTCTCCTTCTGCCCCTACCCCCTGTTTGCTTTCTCTCAAAATCAATCAATCAATTAATAGAAATAGGGTATAACTTATAAACTATTACAGGAAAAAAATCGAATGAAAAGGTCCACCAATCTGAAAGAAGTCAAAAAGAGAAGGAGGATTTACAAAATATAGTGGTAGACCAAAATCAATTATTTTAGTAATTACAGTAATTATTAGTGGTCTAAATAATCTGGTTGTAGGACCAAGATTGTCAGACTGAAAACATAAATAAGCAGAAACTTTGAAAGTAAACGGATGGAAAATGTATATCTGGAAATAACATGTATAAAATTGAAGCCAGGTTAAGAACATTGCATCATAATAGATAAGGTTAAACCATCAAGAAAATATAACAACTCTAAATCTGTATATGGACTTAATAACATGGTCTTCAATGTATGAAGAAAATATTAACAGAACTACAGGGAAAAACACAAATGTTCACAACCACAATGAGAGATTTAAAAAGACCTCTTTCAGTAATTAAGAAAAGCTGTCGAAAATAATAATAAGGCTATAGAAGATTGGAATCATGATTAATACATTTAACTCAATGGACCTATAAAGAACAGGGAAGCAAGCGAGTATATGTGATCATTTTTAAAAATTGACCAAGTCCTTGTCCGTAAAGCAAGATTCAAAGAATCACAGAATTTAAACCACACATTTTGGACTTTTAACTACAGTGCAATAGTGTAGGAAACCAATAAGAAAAAGACAAATAAGAAAACATCCTTCTTTGTCTGGAAATTTAAAAAATACAGTAAGTACCTGTGGGTCAATATTTAATATACATCTTGTATATATATTCCACACAGAACAATGTTTATAGGAGATTGTATTTTAAAAGCATATATTAGAAGACAGGATAGAAGAAGCATCTGACTCAAGAAATGAAAGAAAAAAGGAAGATGATAATAATGATAGAAACAGAAATTATGATATTCAAAATTAGGCTATAGTAAATGTGAACAAAACCCTAAAAGTTAATTCTTTGAAAGGACTAATAAAAATTGTAAACCTCTGGAAAGACACATGAGGAAGAGCAAAATCAGGCATAAATAATTAATGTCATATAGAAAAAGGGAGGGTACTGCAGACTCTTCAATATGAAAAAGAACTAGACTTCAATGAGTTCAGAGTGAACATTGTAATCTTTGAAAGAGATATTTGGAAAAACTTTAAAGTAAAAATGATATTTCATATTATTTAAATTCAATAGGCAAATTCCAAGAAAAATATAACTTTCAAAACAGACACAAGAAGAAATGAAGTCCTGAGATCTTTTATATTCATTAAACAAATTAAATCTATAATAAAAAAAGTCCTGCTAAGAAACTTCACAGGAAATGTACATCAAACATCAAAAAGAATTCACTGCAAATAAATACAACATATTTCAGTGAATAGGAGATGTGTACACTGTGTAATTATCTACAGAGAAGCACAATGTTTATGACCATTCTAACAAGAACAGTTTTAGGAAGGAAAACAGTGGGTCAATCACACTCAGAAAACAGAGATACTACCATCATGAATAAAGTATTAGAAAAAATGCACATATACCATATACATATTTACCATGACTAAGTTGCTAATAATGCAAGGAAAAGTATATTTTACAAAAACAAGTGAATGCTACCACATTAATGAAGGAAGAAAGATCCTATGTCTTCTTAATAGATGCAGAAAAAGCATTTAGTAAAAGTCACAATACCAATTATTGGTTCACTAGGAATAGATGGAACATTCTTACCCAGGTAAACTACGTTGATTAAATGTGTACAAATGGTGTAATTTTAAAGAAATACACAACATTAAATACCATAACATGGAGGATGAGGAGGAAATGGGAGTGCAATCATATTAGGGAGGAAGAAGGGTATGTGGTCAATTCAGGGTATGTGATAAACTCCCTGATCCTTGAACATAGCTACATTTTAAATTTCTTTCTTATGAAGTTATATACTTGATTTTATACGTATGATATTTAGCTACAAAGGCAATTTGTTTTTAATCTGCATGTTCAAAGATTTTAGCTACCTACCTACAAAGTTGAATTTATGGGTCAAATAGAAAATGTTTTTGTATCTCTTCTAACTCAATCAGCCACCTATTAGCTACTTATTATCACATCTCTACTAATGAATAGTGTTTTTCATACTAGATATTGAGCTAAATGGAATGTAAACTTATTTGACAAAACATTGGGACGATTATTTAAATTCAGTACATATTTTTTAAACAAAACAATTATTTTTACATAACACAATCTGGTGATGGACTTATAAATATTTTATTTTACAAACTAATTGCTACCTGGGCTTTAAATGCAAATAAAAAGTGCTCCCATTTGCTGTTGCTAGAGTGTGTGTGTGTGTGTGTGTGTGTGTGTGTATGTGTGTGTGTAAAATGTTATAACAAATGGAAAAATGTCAGAATACTTTATTTTTTCAACTCTATATTATTTTTTTTTTAGAAATAGACTTCAATTTAGACATTACAGTTTACTCTGAGGAGCATAAGAGTACATACGGTTTCAATAATTACTACTTGTGACCTATGCTAATGGATCTCAAGGTTTTGCATACATCAGAATCACCTGAAAGACTTGTTAAAATACCAATTACTGGTTCCTCCCTATCTGAGTTAGTATGTCTGGGTGAGGATCCAAGAATTTGAATTTCTAATAAATTCTCAGGTGATGCAGATGCTAGTGGTCCAGAGACCACACTTTGAGAATCTGTAAGACACAATAAGTCATTCTATCTTGCAGGACAATGTAAATGTACACAAAAATATCTGCTAAACTGTGGTGTTCAATGTTATTGGTCTCCAAGTATTTTTGATCATGTATCCTATTAATAAAAAACCTCTGGTATACTCCCACAAATATATGCATATTAATTTATAGATAACTATGTGTTAATGCACTAATGTAATTTAAATATTTTAAGAGCATAAATATTAAAATGAATTATATTTTTGCCCAAGATTCATATGTTTAGTATCAGAGCCAAATTAGACTTCTTAGTTATATGATCTTTCCCATGAAAGTTAAGGCCTATTGATATACATACGTATATATGTACATAATTTTTTTACTTAAAAAATGTTTCCTCTGATTGCCATTCTTAGTTGCCAGGGAAAATATTTTGCTTCTCAATCACAGATCAGTTGATCTCTTTCCCCACTCATGAGTAACATTGTACAAATCCTTTTGCTTACATTCACACTACTTAAGACATGTAGTCTTCAATATAATACTGAAAATTGGAAAGTTCTCTGAGATCTTTTTTTTGTTGTTTCTGATTATCTTTTTAAGATTCTGGATTTATCCTATATTCATATTGTTTATAAATAAAAGTATTTTTAAATGAAAATTATCTGAGCAACTTATTTAAATTATTTTCAGCTCATAGATGATCCAGATGTCAAGATCAAACTCAAGACCCAGTCTTTAATTTATCCTGCCCTTCAGACTCTTGATATGGATTTACCGTCATATTGGGAAAATTCACACTTTCCATTTCTGCCCAGATCACTGATGGTCAGGTTCTGGAGTGAATATTTTACCACAGACAAATCACTTACAAAAGCTATGCTCTTCAATCAACATGTACCAGTGGAATCAAGCCATCTGCTCAAGTTTGTTAATTGGAGTTCGTTGCTCCCTGAGAAGTATAAGAAAGGACACTTTTATAACAGTCCGACTTACGGTAGTTCTGAGTTGGCTAAGAAATATCCAGGATTTCTTGATGTGAGGGCAGCCCCCTTGTTAGCTGATGACAACAAATTGCGAAGTTTACCCTTGACTCACATCATCACCTGTCAGTATGATGTTTTAAGAGATGATGGAATCATGTATGTCACCCGACTTCAGAATGCTGGAGTTCATGTGACCCATAACCATGTTGAAGATGGATTCCATGGAGCACTTTCCGATTATGCACTTAAAATTGCATACAGAATAGAAAATCAGTATATGAGTTGGCTAAGTGAAAATCTATAGTAGAAATCTGAGGAGGGGTCCATAAAAATATACAAGCCCCAGGGCAGGAAACAACTTAGTGAGAATCCAAGGATTATTTTTGGATTGATATTTATCATCTGTGCCCTTTCTAAGGTCTTCATACCCATCATGCTGTTTGTTTTTTAACTCAGAGAGTTCTCTATTTCTTGTCCTGTGTTGTTTATTCACTTCTGTACCTTAGAAAATATCTACTTTCCTGTATAGTCTTTTCTTGCTGCTGTTACTCATTTCTTATAGCTCTAATTCACAGCTCTAGTTTTATTTTATTTTTTTTTTAAATTTTTTTAATGTTTTATTTATTTCTAGGAGAGAAGAGAGAGAGACAGAGTGAGCAGGGGAGGGTCAGAGAGAGAGGGAGTCACAGACTGAAACAGGCTCCAGG